CACTACATGCTTGATTAGGGTTCCATTCGAATAAGGTTTATTTGAATTATATGTTTTACTCGTTATGAATTTGAGTATTCAAATTACATTTGAATAAAATGAATAATGAATAAGACGAATAAACAAATAAAACAAATAATTCAATAGTGATAGATAATTTAAATAATAAAAATAAACGAAATAATTCGAATAGTTCGAACAAACGAATAAATGAATAGTTCGAAATAAAATGGACAATTCGAATGGTTCGAATAATTTCGAGTAAAACGAATAATTCAAGTAAAACGAATAATTCGAATAAAACGAATAAACAAAATAAAATGAATAATTCAGGCAAACAAATATTTGAATAAACAAATGACAACAATTCAAATAAATGAATGATGACAATTCGATAATAAACGAATGATACAATTCGATAATAAACGAATGATGATATATAATTCGAATGATAACAATTCGAATAATAAACAAATAACAATTCGAATAATAAACAAATGATAACAATTCGAATAATAAACAAATGATAACAATTCGAATAAACAAATGATAACAAGTCGAATAAACGAATGATAACAATTCAAATAAATGAACGATAACAATTCAAATAATAAGCGAATGATGACAATTCGAATAATAAACGAATGATAACAATTCGAATAAACGAATGATTTGAATAATTCAAACAAAAATTTTATTGCGAATAGAAACTACTCTATTGCAGAGTCACCAAATCTGGCACAATAATGTTCAAACTAAACTAAAATCACCACGTACAACTACACTACTTGAGGCATCCCTACAAGTAATATAGTAAAACTAATAAAAGGATTCCTAACTAATAATTAAATGTTAGCCAAACCATTCAATCATGCCAGATTTATTCATTAATGAAAGTGTTATTTTTATTACCAAAGTATTATTAATTATTTTTTAATTTTTTTTCACTGAAGGAGATTTCAAGCATATTAAAGTATTACAAATAACATGACTTTTTACATGATTTTGCCAATAAAATAAAATAAAATAAAATAGAATTACTAAAGTTAAATGTCAAAAATGAGACATTGATGATGTCATGATTAAATGATACCTGATGAAATGTTTTTGTCATAATTAATTAAAAATTTATCTTCCTTAAAAATATTATTAAACAGAAAAACATGGCAATGTGACTCTGGACATATTTGTATTACACTAATTCCATTCAATTCATTAACAGCATAGAAGACTTTGATGAATCTTTTTTTTTTTTGAAGTCAACACAGCTTTAATAGTACAGGTTTTTGGATTATTTTTGCAGGAAAAACAATCAATTAGCTGAATAAATCCTAAACTAGAAATAAATCTGTTTTTGACTGCTCATCAGATCAACTCACTTATTTCACTTATCAAAAAATTATGCTATTGATTCAGTATTAAAAGATTATGAAAATCATATTCTTATATTTGTAGTCCTACTCTAAGCCTAAAAACAACAACATCAAATCCATCATCTTTAAATACTGTTGGTTCTCAACTCATACTAAAAATAAATAATTTATGAGGAGGAAGTAAAAAAAGGAGCATTGCTTGAAAGTATTTCTTTAAATGAAATCCCATCAGAAATTCAAAATGCTCAAAATCTTAATGATGAATCTAACTCATTACAGCAAAATTATTTTTTAATGCAATGTTTAGAATACAAAAACACAATAGCTCAAACATTAGTAAACATTTGGATGGAATTGATAGATATTTAGATAAGACAACAAAATATTAATGGTGAAATGCTGCAGAAATCACGGAATGTGTATTTAAAAACAGAAAATGCTATTACTATCCCATAAATGGTCAGAGTAAAGAGTATTTTTTAAAATAATGATCAGCAAAATAAAATGGTCAATCTCTCCCTACCGCAAAAACTACAAGGACGACGACCGAACTTTTATTTATAGATCAACTAGCTGAATCTCAAATATCATTTTCGCACCAGGAAGTGATTCCCTCAGAATAGAGGTTGGAACCGGTTTTAATCACCTTTTCAAAATCAGAACCGGTTCTAACCGGGCAACCGGTTTTAATTTTGTGGGGAATATATCAATCAAATGAAAGCAAAAGTTATTTAATTATTTGTTCTCCAAGTCAAAACTTGTTGCTTGTAGCATAATAATTACATGCAAGTATTTACATTACTTACCATAATAATAGTATATTAATATGAAGCAAAATTCATATCCAAAGTTTTTTTATTATTAAACCAAAAATTAAAGATTTTGGTGTGGAAACAAGTTGAAATTTTCCCTGTTTCGTCACGTTTCGTCACATGTGCCCCATTTGACGAAATACTTTTTACACTCGAAAATATTTTCGCCTCCCAACCTTGATATACATACATTTTAGTTATTGTTTTGTTTGAAAATGATGGCAGAGAATTTGATAAATGCTTTATATTTAGCACAGACTCTTTACATAAAGTCTAATAATAAAACCGGTTTTTATTATATCCGGTTTATCGATTATTATTATTATTATGTTTGTGATGTGATGATTGAACTTTGAACCCTGAAAGTGTTCACATGTCCCATATGGGGAGTTTTCTATCAAAAACCGGCAGAGAAACAATATTACTAAACTAGTTTTTTCAGACCCATTCTTATAAAAAATATCGAAAATTTTTTTTCATTTGCTTCTATTACTATACGACATCCATATGAACAAATCAATAGTTATCAAAATACCATTTGCCAAACATGTATCATAAATTGTTTAATCTCTTATCCTCTTCTTTAATAAATAAATAAATATAAAACCTTTCAATTGGTAAATACCTTTAATTATAAGATAATAGATATAATTAAAATATCATACTTTTATAAAACATAGCAATATTTTTTCAATTCTTTATATACGCTAGTCGAAAAATGAAAAATTAGTAATAATTCTGCTATCTGAATTGTTGTTGCTGAATGGCGTCAGCCAGCTGAAATTCAGGAAGCAACATTCAGAATAAATTCATAACTCTTTATTGAATATTATATAAATATTGATATAATTATTTTAATCAAAAATAGAAAATGTCTTTATAATTCAGAAACAGTTTCGGGTGACAATCTATTTCTTTCATTTATAATAACATCAGAAAATAATCTTTCCGATGTAACAGATGTTGTTGCATTTGAGCATAAATATTTATTTGCTAACATTGCAAGAGTTGGCAAATCATTCTTTTCTTGCCAATTCGTCATAACTGATTTGTTGTGTAGTATCTAATAATTCGTCAAAAATGGTATTTTGTGATGGATGATTTTCTCAAATCTAAATTTAGTCTTTTTTCTTCAATTGACTTAACTTCTTCTGATATATTTATATGCCATATCATAACGACCTAATGTAAATCTTAATGATTTAAACCTCGGATCCAAATAGAGGCCAAAAGTCTTATTCACGGAAAGAACTATATAATGCATTAATTATTTTATTTTAATCCTAAAATGCTAATTGGTTTTTTGATGTCTTGATTTTTTTTTTAAAGTCTTTCTCTAAAATTTCAATTTTCTCAGATATTAGCCTTGTGTACATGAGGAACATGGGAATGACTGTAATATGTTTAAAGTAGCATATGTGCTTCAACGTTTGATAATCAAATGTCACATATTGAATTATTTTTCGAATCGTCCAAGTGCCGTTTTCCATCCCATATTCAACTGTCATGTTGTCTTTCTTAACCCTCGACGCTTCCTTTTATTAACAACAGTTACGAAAAGCAAACACACCTCCAATAATTTGTTTAGTGATGTTAACTGGCTAAGAAATTTATCGGCTTAGCCGGCTAAGGGTTTTCTATCAGCCAACATCACTACATTTGTTATCTTGATTGAGATTCTTATTATTTTGATTTCAATAAAAGATATCTATTGTAATCGGATGTTGATTTATAACAATATTTATAAACCAATACAATAAAAAAAAGGCACTTCTAGTTGGTTATTAACGCTTCTTATTTAAAACCATACCATACCAAACAACATTCACGTTTACTTGTCTTGGGCCCTGTCAAAATTATTTGTTTTCAAAAAAACAAACGATTTTGATATTTTTTTCTTGAATAAAATTTAAAAATGTCTTTAAAAAACTTAAGAGAAAGATAAAAACAAATTGCAGGCATCACTGGATAAGTGTTATTATTTACGATTATTAAAAGAATGGTAGTTATCGTCACTTGTCATTCTAGTTGATCAATAACAACAAATTTTTTTCAAAAAATAGTATTATTGGTCTATATCTCGTTGTTTCAGCTATGCTATGATAAAAGTAATCTTGAATTAATGATAATTGATTTATATATTGTCTTCCATGTGTTAAAGTAGCCACCAAACTGAAAATATACTCCGTAAAAAAAAGTAGATGGATGTAGTAGGCTGTCTGCAAGAACTAAGAAATCCTGTTGGGATATGGTTACAAAAGTTCCAAAAGGAAATGTGAATAGGACGAAATCTCGGGATATTTTACAGAAGTTCGAAAAGTAATTTGAGAAATCTCATTGAGATACGATTTCTAAAATTTCAAAAAGCAAAATGAAGGCCTGCAATTGGACCCAACCAGCCCGGATTAGGTGCAACCTTTTATTATTATTCTAATCCTCCAGTTTGTGTTACAGAAAAAAGTAAACCGATAAATTGAAAGATTGAATAATGTCCTTTTGATTTATCGGCTTACTTCTTGTGTCACATTTTATCTCCTCGCACTAGTAAATTGATGATGATGATAATAATAATAATAAAGGTTTTCCGATTATTCTAATGAGCTAGATTATTCAATTATTCAATTATCAAAATTGAATTCAACCGATTGATTATCTGGGTGTTGATCAAAACATTCTGACCCTAATGTTGTAATCTTGTTGATAAACTTGTTATCATCTAAAAATGGGTAATTCATACAATATTTTGTTTGCACTATATTGTGTGTGAACATATATAAAAAGGGCCCATCTAGTGTTTTTTTTTCAATTCAGAAAAATGAAGAAAATTATTGTAAAAGAGTTCCGTGAAATTATAACAGACCCCATTTTCCTAACTGCTTCTGAAAATAAAATTGTGCAACATGATGAGTTGCCCATGGTAAATGATGAGCTTTCGGTGACTCTGTATCTGAAAGTTAAAAGTATTAGTTCTAATTGGGCCTGCATTTTTCATAAAGGTTGATTTTTTGCAAGAATGAGTTCTGAATATCCCTGAGAATGTGATTGTTTATTTGTTTCTTAGCTGTCCAACTAACACCTTTAAAACTGTGTAAATGTGTAAATACACATATCTTTAGGCACTGAGAATAGTATCCGCACTCCTGGACTCTGGTTGCACCCAAAAAAAACTACACTGTATGCCCGTTTCTCAGGCAATTGGTCCTGTGATGCTGGAATTGGTGAGACTACCGCCAAGCTTTCGTTGAATAAATGGCACCATATAAGTTACACTCTTTCTGATTTTAAAAAGAGATTAGACCTCTACATAGATTGTTCATGGATCGGATTCTGTGGCATCGAGAATGTTCAGACGCAAAAGGTTCTGTTCAACACTGGACCATTGCATATTGGATCAGCATTTGACCAAGGGTTTACTGGTGAAATTAGGTATTATTTATCACAGTAATGATGTCGACATATGATTACAGAAATCACAAAAATGTTAAATGCCCATTTTTATTAAATAGCAATTTTCGTTACTTTAACTGGCGCCTTTCTGCTAAAGAAGTGGAAAAAAACTTTTTGGTAGGACACCTTTTAGTCTTTTAGATTTATGGGATTTTTATCCAATCAAATGGCTCACAATAATGACCTTATTTTCCTTTCAATCATTTTTAAATTTTTAGAAGCAAGGAATCTTTAATTGTTGTCAATGATTTTTTTAAACAAGTATGAAGATATTATGTCAATATGTTCTAAGTTTCATTGAAAAAAGTATAATTCACTTATTAAAAATATTTATAAATTAAGTAAATAAATCAAATACATCATTGCTATATATTTTATTTGGTAAATTTCTTGATTCAATTCTAGCATATTAAGATTAATTAAGATCTGGGTAGTAATTTTGACAAAGTACTGGTTTAAAGTTATTGAACCAGAAAGAAATACGGTTGTTTTGCACACTATATATTGATATTAAAACCTCCTAATCGTAACTATCGAAATAACTTGCTCTTTCAAAGTTTCAGAAAATTTCTTTTTCTGATTTTAGTGAATAAAACACCATTCCATTCTTTTTATTTTGATTATAAATTTATTAAAGATTTAGAATATTCGAGACAATTATTTGTTTAGTTATAATGAATTTAACAAGCATATCAATATATCAATACATATAATATTTTTACATTTATCTAAACTCGCGAACGTTTATTGTCGATCAATTTTTGTATTCCAAATTTGGTAAAATTCCTGACTGCAGTAATCAATCAGTTATTATTATCAGACTAGTATATAAAATCCTTGAAAAAAAAAAGGCAGATTTATTTTAACGTTTTAGTGAAAACATAAAAAATGTCGCGTAAACAAGATACATTAGCAGTGTGTGGAAATCCTTTATACCTTGAGTGGTTAAAAGTTTGGATGGAAAATGCCAAGGATAATAATAATACCAAACTTTATTACACGTACAAAAAGGTTTTTAATAATAATATTTTTATATTAATAATAATACTATTTTTATCAATGCATATTAAATATGTTATTATATATAGGCTTTTGAGTCCATGTCAGTATATCCATTACCATTTAATCATCCAAAGGAAGCAGCTATTTTAAGTGGTATTGGTCCTATCATTTGCAAAAAGTTAGAGAAAAAATTAAAAGAACATTGTGATGAACATGACTTGACCATGCCTGAACCTCCTGGTAAATTTATTTAGTTCTGTCAAATTATGTATTTATTTTTTTTATTATTAATAAATGAACCTTGTTATATTATAATAATATCAAGATGAAATCTCAAGTTCTAAGCAAGTTGTTGTGACAGAAAATATAAATCAAGATCAAGAAAAAAGAAATTCTAATTTCTTTGAATCAAAGAAAAGAAAAAAAGCCACATCATCAAAAACATATGTTCCAAAATATCGTACTGGTCCCTATGCAATCATGGTAGCATTATACAAATCTTATAAAGATGAATTGACTCACAGTATGACAAAATCAGATTTGTTAAGGGAAGCTCAAAAATATTCTGATACATCCTTTGAAGTATCAAATAATCGTAGAAAACATTACACAGCCTGGAGTTCTGTGAAAATTTTGTTAGAAAGAGATTATGTATATAAAAGTGGATGTCCCTCAAGGTTTTCATTAACAGATATTGGCATGTCAGTTGCTCAACAAATGGCCGATATTCAAATCGAACAAGGGCATGAGGCTATAAATACAGTTGATGAAAATCAGCTAAACTCAAATGATGAGAAAAATGTCAATGAAAGTGATACTATAGAAATAAAAGAAAGTGTGGCTAGTAACACTGAAGGAAAACAGCAGGGAGCCATTGAAATTGAAGATAATTTGACTGCTGAACCTGTTTTGACATTAGAACCATATTGTTCCAATAATATTAATTTACCAAACTATGATTTTGAGGGTAATTTTCAAATTGATCAAGGATTAGCCTTTGATTTTGATATTAATGATTATGGTAATGATAATGATAATGATAACGATAATGATAATGATAATTCATTTGATTTACTTGATAATTTCAAGCATGTTGAGTTGTTACCTGGTACATTTGAGGTAATCCTTGTTTTGGATACACGTGAAATTAAGTTGGCAAAAGATCGAGATTTTATACAAGATGCATTAATAAACAGAGGAGTGAAATTATCTGTTAGAAGTTTAGAACTTGGTGATGTTTTATGGGTGGCTAAAAAATATGGATCAACCACAAAAGATGAAGAAATTGTATTAGACTATATTGTTGAAAGGAAAAGAATGGATGATTTGATAGGAAGTATCAAAGATGGAAGATTTAGAGAACAAAAGGTTTGAAAAAAAAATTTTTTTTATGGATAAGATATTAAAATTTTTATTTTATTTGGTGCTTGTGTACATATATACTAATCATAAAATTTTCGCATTACAAGTTCCGTCTTTCTAAGTCTGGTATTAATAATATAATCTATTTGGTTGAGGATTATGATTTAGAATCTGCTTTAGAATTTGGAATCGAAAATATCAAATCTGCATTGTCATCTACTCAAATCTTAAATGGCTTTTTTTTGAAACGTACTTCTTCAATTGATCAAACAGTTGAATATCTAATCAGAGTGACAAATATGTTAAAAAGTGTATATGAGGTAATCAATCATATCTTTTTTTTATGTAGTAATTATAAGCAAATTTATAATTATGATAATTATGCTTATTATTTTAAAAATTTTTAAAAAGGAATCCATCACATATATCATTCCAGATAACCTTATTTATCGTTCTACATTTTTAACTTTGAAAGAACAATTGGCCACTGTTTATAAAGATCGTATTTATCATGTCAGCTATGCATCATATTCAGAACTTAATAGTAAGAGTAAATCTTTAACATTAAGGGATATTTTTTTAAAATTTTTAATGACAATCAAAGGTATAAGTGCAGAAAAGGCAATGGAAATTATTAAAAAATATCCAACACCACATGATTTATTCGAAGCATTTAATTCGTTAAATACTGAAGGTGAAAAAAAGAGAATGATCAAGGATATTTATGATGGTATGATTCGTAGGAAAAAATTTGGTCCTGTTTTGAGTGAAAAAGTTTATAAAATCTGGCATGCAGATAATTATTAATAGATCTCTACCTGTATGTAAGTTTTTGATTTATATTTTTATTTAAAATTTTTTTCTCCGATTATTTTAATTTACGTTTTTTATTACTAGTGTTCCTATTAATATCACCACTAACAGTTGAATTTTGATCAACTTTATAATTGTTAAGTTTATCCAAAGCATTTTGTAATATTCTTTTTTCACCTAATCTTACAACAATTGCACAAACTAATTTATGTGAAATTGATTTTCTTTCATTAAGAATTTCTTCATCCTCCTAATATAATAAATAAATCATGTTATTAAAAAAAATTTTTTTTAAAAAAAGGAAATTATGTCAAATAAAGCAAACAATATACTTTAATAGATGTTTTATAGATTGACATCTGTTTCTGTAATAATTTGATTAGTGATTGTTGTATATCAGTTGTAATTTGGTTGTTTGGTAATGATTTCTTGTGTTTTTTCAACATTATAAATTGAGATTTATCCATTGTCAGGATTTTTGCTTTTTAATTATAAAAAATATTAAATTTAATTTTTAAATAAAAAATGAAAATGAAGAGTAGTTATAAATTTACCAGCAATTATTAATTCTGATTGAATTTCACCACTTTTATCTAATATAAAGACACTAAAAAAATATAAAATATAAATCTATATTCCAATTGATCTTTAATTAAAACTAAAATTTACACACTCATCCAATATATCTTCTTTAAGCAACCAATCAATCTAATACAAAAAAAGCATACATAGTAAATTTATAATTTATATGTATATATATATATTTATATAGCAAATACTATAAATCACCTTTTTCTCCTTAATTTTATCATCATCATTTGACAAAATATCAATTACTAATTGACCATTTATTTCAACAATATTATGAATATTGTCATCATCAACAAATCCATACTTTCTCAATAAATCTAATAAATAATTTATTAAAAATTAATTTAGTTTTAATGTTAAATATTGATTAAAAATATTTTTTATAAAGTAATTACCTGCATTACATAAATCTCCATAAGTATTAAACTTAAAAGTGCATATAATAAAGAAATATATAAGCAAATGATTTATTTCCTTTCTTACTCTGAAAAATTATTTTTTAATCAATAAAAAAACAAAGAGAAGAAGAAATAATATTTACAATTTGTTCACCCTTTTTTATTTTTTTGATGGCGATCATTTGTAATGATGAACCTCTATGTTGATATAATCTTGCCTTTAAAAATAAATATCAGAATGAATTAATATTAGCCATAGTATTAGTCTATATAAGTATTATTTGTATAAATATCACACATACATTATTATAACCTGTCTTATGATTAAGCATATCAGCCATTGGGATCATTACAACTTCTTCATTATCATCATTATCATCATCATCATCATCATTATCATCATCATCATCATCATCATCATTATTGTTAGTATCATTACTACTAATTTTATTATCTTCACCATTACCATTCTCTTCATTAAAAGCATTGGACATAATAAGTGATCCAATTTGATGAAACAAATTTATATTGTGAACATCTGGTTTGAAAACATTTGGTTTTGACTGTTTTTTAAAAAAAAAAAATAAACTTTTAGAAAATATTTTTTGTTAAATGATTTACTAAAAAAGATTTATTACTTGAATTATTGGGAGTAAATGTTCATAAAACCCCTTTTCCGAATCTGCTTTTCCAATCTTATCTAATAAAAAAAAATATCATATTTACAAAAATTATATAACTAAAGAAAAAAAGATATTTTATTTTACCTATAACACCTGTTCCCTGTAATTCAGTCAATTCTTCTTCTGTCCAAAACATTGGTGTTTCAAATTGTTTTGGTAAAATGTCAAAGTAAGGTTTCCATAGGGAATTTTCTTTTTGAGACTCGTACATCATACATAATATAAGTGGGAACCAATGATTAATTTTATAAAGTTTTTTATATTCTTCTGTAGAAACTTCATTTTTAAGTAAAGAAGTTTTTGGAGATAAAAGTATTGAACGGGGAATCTCAAAAAGAACTTCGTCACTCTTTTGCCCCCCCAAAAAGATAAAAATTAATTTTTTTTAAAAAAAAACAAGTATAAAAAAAAATATCAATGAAAAAATACCCCAATTTCCTCGACTGCCATCATTCCACGTCCTGCATTTTCGTTTGAATAGTCTTTGAATGCAATTTTTGGTGAAATTATACCTCCATTAGCACAAAACCAATCGACGAAACTTTCATTAATAAGTTCAAAAGAAGTTTTTTCACACATTGTTTTATAAAAATGATCAACTTCATACCTACTTGAATAGGCTGCTAGCTCGCAAAAAACCTTAAAATTATTTATTTCTTGGTGCAAATTTTGGCATTCTCATCATAAAGCACATATTTAGAGCCTTGACCCCAGGACCGAAACATTTAAATTATTTATCAATTAATTCATATTTCACATCTTTCTACTGTTTTTTTTTTAATTGAAACATAAAAAAATCTTTCTATATTTTATTTCGTCATATATTATTTTGTAGTGACTTAGTCTAATAAGCAAAACGTTTTAAATGTTTGATATAGATAAGTAAATTTAGGTAGCTCGCATCTATATATTTTTTAGGCATGCATAATTTCATTACCAATTGACTACTGATCACTTTCCTTTGGTTTAGGACGATGACAGTATTCGATTATGTATAACTTAACGTGTATGTAGAGATAAGCAAGCTTCGATTTATAATTTTATTTTTTATGCCCAGAGATTTGATTTTTTTTACACGTCGAATTATTGGTATACAGTCGAATCTAGTGGTTGTATCCGTTGATTATCCGGATAATTGGTCATTCACCGAATATCCGTTAAATATTAAATTTATTTAAAAAAAATTTTTTATTCATCAGGAAAAATATAAGAAATACAATTCTTTCAAATAATAATGGGTTCAATTTTGTTCGTTTGGCTGTCATTAAAGAATGTAATAGTGAT